AGATCTGCTCAATAAGGCCATTTAAAGCTTCACGCATCTTCTTAGCCCTAGCTCGCGTGACTGGACCCCCTTGGCTGTGTAACGGATCACATGACGTAGTAGATATGTTGTTGTCTTGATTCCCATCATTTATCGTTTCTAACTTTTAATAAAAATTATTAAAATTTTAAAGTTTTAACTTCATATATATTGTTTTTTAAAAATAACTATTAGATTTTATAAATTTGAACAAATAAAATAAAATTTAATGTACAAGTTACACTACCATGGCATAAGTTACGGAGAACCAACGCCAACATATTGTACATAATCATCAAACATTAAACTTTGTCTCATTTATTCAAATTGAAAAGTTAGAGAACAAAGTATCTTTACTTTAAAAAGTGAAGGAGAAAACCTTTAAAGTTGATAAAGTAAAGGGCAAATTACGAAGTTTTGCCCATATTTCTTTTATTTTTCCGATTCGACGCATTATTATATTTTAGACCTGAAAAATTATTAGCCACCTTTGACCTCTCCGTCACCGACACCGCACGTGGCGGCGATGATATGGTGAAATGCGATCCACAGAGGCTACAACTTTGGTCTTTGGATGGGCAGTATCGACATGTATGCATTGTGATGGGACGTCACTTTGCATGTGGAAGGAGGGTCCGCCAAACCCATCCCCATGTTACCCATTAGAAAATAATGTAAAAATAATTTTTTATTATTTTTATATTATTTAAATAATTATTTTTTTTATTTATTTAAAATTAATATTATTAAATATATTTATATATTTAATAATATATAAAAATAATATAAAAATAATATAAAAAATTATTCTTATATGGCCGTTTTTACCTATTTGAATTGTGATAATAAGTGAACTGCAATTAATATTTATTGATTTAAGTAAAATAACTTAATTTTTTTTAAATAAAATTTTAAGTTTAAATTTTTTAAATAAAAAATTAAATACTTTAAAATATTTCTATTCATAAGATTTGATGAGATTTGATTTCAAATTAAGTCATATCTAATGGGTTATCAAATGGTAAAAAATTAGCAAAAAAAAGTGGACTGCATGGTACCGACTGTTATGTTGAGCACGTGACTGCCACGTCAAACATTATCAGCAATTAGGAAAATTTTGGAATGTGTTATGTTTTCCGGGGTTTTTCTACATGAGTAATAATACAGGGGACGAAAACGCGGGATGAAATGAGGGATGACAAGTGATGCAAAAGGGTTAAATTAGTAACTACATCACATACATTAATCTTGCATCATTTGTCGTCTTGCGTTTTTGTCTCGTGTTTTCATCCACTGCATCATTACTCTTTTTATATAGAAAATTATAGGTTGGGACGTATGTTATAAGAGTAATGATCGGGGGATGAAATTGGAGACGACAAGTGAAAATTGTAGGATACAAAATTACCAATTTTATTGTGCTCGCTTGTCGTTCCCCAATTTCGTCCCCCTAATCATTACTCATGTTATAAATTATTCGAGTTCAATCAACTCGAGTTTTGCGGAATTTAAACTCAAATTCCAAATTACAAAGTCAAATTTAATTTAAGTTTTTATCAAATTTAGATATATTAAGTTTGAATTTAATTCACAAATTTAATTGAATATTTAAATATAATTTAAGATTTAAATTAAAATTAAATTAAAATTTTATATATTTAATATATAATTATTTTTTAATACAATTAAGTTGAATAAAATTGGATCAGGTCATAATTTTTTTAAATTTTAATTTAAAAATAAATAAGTGAGTAATTTAACTTATTTACAATCCTATTTCTAAAGATAGAAGAAACGGAAGGTCAAAATTCAAAGTTAAGATGTCCCAAGTCATTGTCCCCCACAAAATTCAATAGCTGCCATTGGGACAGCGTGTGTGACCTGGTTTTAGAATTTTGTGGAATAGTTGGTAAATATTCAGCTTTAAGCAAGTTAGATTTCCATTGTAGGGCCAACGCCTTCTAAAATCTCACATGTGAAGGAAATTAGATCAGGTCAGTTACCTAATGGTCACCAAATAATCTCTTCCATCTTAATTTCAATAGAAGGATATATATTGCAGACACACAAAAAGGGTACCAAAGATTTTCTTTTTCTTTTTTGTTGGGGTTAAAAAAGGTACCAAAGATTTGAGCAAATGGTTTTCAATTTTTAAGTCTTTAAGTTCTTATGATTTTTTTAAAATCAAAAGTTTTTTTTTGCAATATAAACTGTCTTGAATTATAAAATATTAACTTTTAAATTAAGGAAAAATTGCTTGATATTTGACCCTCCTCCTTATTTAAAAACTATGATTTTATAATTTGATATAGTTTAAACTACAATATCAAAAATCTTTTTAAAATTAATAGCAATACTTTTTCCTTTTTCCTGTGTTAAAGCAATTAGTTTAAATCTGTGGGGGGAGAGATGGAGAGAAAGTATATATTCAAACTCTTATTATAAGAATGTGAAAGTTTATGTTATTAATAAAATCATTCCAACTACTAAATCTTTATTGAATTAATGGCAATACTGTATATAAAAAGGGTAACAGTTTTTTCAAACAGTAAAAAGGTATACAAACTTCAATGAGATTACTACCGCAACCACTTGCAAACCGTTGCTCGTACAAAATTTAGTCAAATGTGATTTATATGGCTAATTGAAATTGTTACTTTACAAAATTGACATATAGAGGATTCCAATCTTTGTTTCGAGTTGTTATCACTTCTCATGTGTTATAGGAGAAATAAAAATAAAATAAATGAATTAATTATTTAAATAATTTAATAATAACTCTTTTAATAAAAATAAAAAATTTTAAATTTAACTCATGTAATATGTTAATATAATACATTAAACAAATTTTAAAAATTATCTAATATTATATATTTCAAAATCTTAATAAATAAACAAATAAATAAGTGCAACCTCTCAATGAAATTCCAATTTCCAATGTCATTATTAGGAGGAAATAAAAAATTCAGTGACTAAATTATCGGCAAGTCCAATGATGAGTGAATTGAACCGGGTCTTATAGTCCAATGGTTCGCCCCTAAATCTTAGTGATTGGGTGAAATGGTGGTCGGAGTTTCAAGCTTCACTATCGTGAATTTCATCAAATTACAACCTGATGGCCGCGCGCCTCATTTGAGGAGGTGAAATGTTTACCCGATCTGAGAACCAACTACTAACAATTAACTCACTAACTTTCTAATCATTACCTTTCTCAAAAAAAAAAAAAAATGATAAGTGAATTCGCTCCCTTCCCTCTAGAACCTATACTTGCAAGCTTAGTACATCTAAACAAATGTATAGGCATTGACCAATTTTTAGACATGGTGATATTTTGACAAAGACAATTAACTAACAAATTAAGAAAAAATCAATTACATAAATAATTTAATGGTTATTTTTTTATTGAAAATAAAAAATTCTGAATTTGAGTCATATGACATGTAAATGGGATAAAATAAGAGATAAAAGATAATTGCCTCTCATTATGTAATTAAGATAAAAAAAGAAATTAAGAAGAAGAGTGCCACATGTTATACTTAAATACCCATTTTAATAAAATAAAATTGAACTTAAATTGTATAATAAAACATGTTTTAACAAATTTAATGAGTGGAAAAAGACTTAAACTATATCAAAAACTATCAATTTCAACTTTAAAAATAGTGATTATGATCATAAGATCATTTGTTAGGGTCACAAATTTAATTAATTTTTATTTTAATTTAACTATTAATAATAGCTAATATTTACTATTTAATAAATTAAAATTATTTTATAAATATATATTTTTAAATATTAGAATTAATTTTTTAACAAAAAAAATTATGAGGTTAATGTTTGTCCGTCTTATCTTTAAATAAATTAAAACTCTAATTATTTTTAAATATTAGAATTGATATACATTAATCTCATTAAAAAATAAAAAAATTGTAAGATGAAAACCTTAAATGAACATGGTCTCAATATTAAGGCCATCCTCATTTAAAACTTAATATTTTACTGAATCAAAAAAAAAAAAAACTTAGATTTGTT